AATTACTTTAATTAGTAATTATGTTTTAATTATTATTTCTTTATTGAATATTTAAATATGTTACTTATTTCCTAAATTGCTCAATAAATAGTAATTAATTATTTTGAATTATTTTGTGCAATTTTCAAACCTAATTTCATTCAAATTTAAATTGAAAGGATATGTCGAAAAACGAAAAAAATTAATTGCTTATTCTCGTTTGGGTGTCTTAATTAAATTTTCTCCAAAACCCAAGAGCCCCAAGGCTCAAGTCTGTGATAAATATAATTATTATTAATCAGCGCCAAATCTAAGGGTTTGTCTGTGTGTACGTTTGAGGTGTTTTAGCAGGGGAGAAGGCGTGTCTGCCCTGGTGCCCGTTGTTTTGATACTGGATATGCTCGGTTGATTATGGTATAAACAAGTAAAATGAACCTCAGACACTATACCTTCAAATGAATTATAAGATATGTCCAAAAAGGTAAGCATTTTGAGTTGACCAAAACTTTGTGGGAGAGTTCCATTAAACTGGTTGTTAGAAATGGTTAATTCCATTAAGTATGATAGGTCTCCTAAGGACTCTGGGATAGGACCTGATATTGAATTAGCAAAAAGATGAAGGCGCATTCAATTTTTAAAATTTCCTAGATGCTCCGTTAAATGGCCTGAAAGATTATTGTACCCTAATAACAATGACTCAATACGATCTGAACTACACAAAGACAGACTCTCCAAGATTTCTGATACATTTCCAATGAAATTGTTGCTTGACATATCAAGATCCACCAACTTACAAAGATTTTCCAATGAAAGATCATTTTCTGTGAGAGAAGAAGAAGAAGTGATATTTTGTTGACGGCTAGGAATTGAACCTTGGAAACCACAAGCTCTGAGATGAAGAGAAACTAGATTTTTAAGACTAAAAACCCACCTAGGCACCAAAGTATTAAATTTATTCTCAGAAAGATCAAGGGTGGAAAGTGAAGTAAAATTTATGGTAGCTAGACCTAGAGAGGGAATGTGATGAAGTCCACAACTGATCATACGTAACTCTACCAAAGAGGGGAGCGTGTTTGTCAACTGCAACCAATCAGAGGCTTTGCTAAGATCAACATAACTCATGTCTAGGTGTGTCAAGTGAGAGAGACCAGAAATCCATTGAAGATTCTCAACCTTCAACTTGCTATGATGGAGACCGAGATAATGCAGATTTGAGAGATTTCCCAGTTGAGGAGGAATTATCCCTTGGAACCCTGCTTCTGAGAGGTTAAGATATCTTAAACTTTTAAGAGAACCTAAGAAGCTAGGAATCGGTGTACCTGGAAATTTATTGTAACTTAAGTACAAGGTAGTTGAGATGACTTAATTGAGCAAAGAAGGATTTACCTTACCACCCAACCAAGTTGATTTATTGTTGAAATCTATCCAAGAGTCGAGATGCGACCACGAGTTAGGATTACGAAGGTGGAGCTCACGGATGCGACCGGTTAAGTTATGACAGACAACTCCAGTCCAATTGCAACAGTCTCCTTCACCAAACCACGATGAAAGCCGATTTGAAGGATCCTTAACATCTTGCTTGAACTTCAGAAGTGCTTGTTTTTCGCCTTCTTTGCAAGTGGCACCCAGATTTTCATTACATAGACCAATACCAATTGTAATGGTTGCAATAGTTAAAAACCTGACAAGTAAAACAGCTTTCATTGTTCTCTCCGTGTGTATGTATGAATAATGAGCCATGGACAATAAGCTATATACCAGGCCAGGAAGGGCATGCATTGCTATCATCCTTCACACTATGCTCCATAAATAAACCCTAACCCTAGATGACACCTCATCTCTTCAATTGCAGTTGCAGATTCAATCGTCATCTTCAACTGTTCTTTAACAGAGTTCATGAGGAATGTCTGTGATTCTCTTCCACATTCCTTTATTTCTTTGCTTTTAGTTTGTTTGGTTGAATATAATGAACTTTGATTGTTTGTAAATGGAAGTAATTTTAAATCTTTAGGCATTGTTGTTGGGTTAGGGTTTGCCTTCCCTTGCTTCATATATCATACCATAAACTTCGATTATTGGGGATTAAATCTTTGTTGGATTAGTTTCATAAATTCTGGTTTCTATTGTCTTCGAGATATCCCACGCCTGTATCGGTGCTTAGCAATCTCCCAAGCCTGTATCAATTGCATCATCAATTCTCAAGTCAAAACATTCCAAACGAAAACAAGAGAGAGTCAAATTGGATTACACATAAAGAAACTCAGACTAGTGACTAATATTTTTATAAAATAAAAAATAAAAAATTTAAACATTATCTGGAGATATCACATTCTAATTATGGCCATAAATATGCTTTCCAAATGCGCTTTGAGCTGATTGTATAATCCATTGCATAAGTTTCTGAAACCAAGTTTTGTGCTTTAGTGTTTCTACTGGGAAATTGACAGGATAAACTTGGCTCTTGTTTGGATAAAAGAGACCCCAGTGTTGCTCCACTGCTGCACCAGGCTTCATGTTCTCATTAAACATGGCAAACAAGTAAGTCTCTGTGGAGTTCCCCGGCCGCCTTGGAGTTCCACGGGATGATAACACATGGCTTATTAGGTTTGAATTGTAGATTTGAGCATTCTCGGGTGTTGTCACCTCTCTGTTCCCATCGGAGGGCCAGCCTGTCTCAGACACCACCACTTGGACTTGGGGCGCCTCTGCTTTCTCCAATGCAGCATATAATGCATCCACCATGGTGTCAAACAGGTTATCATAACTTAAACCAACATCTGTCACAACGACCGTCTCAGAAGCGAACAATGCATAAGGCAGTGAAATGTCAATTGGGTCTCCAATGTAGGCAAAATAAGGGTACACGTTGGCTAATAAAGGGGCACCAATGTTGTTGAGGTATTGAGCAATAGGCACCATATACTCTATGGTGTCTTCAGAAAAGGCTCCAGCTGAGGGAGGGTAAGATACACCCAAGACTGATGTTGCAATTGAAGTGCTGACCTTGATGTCTCCAGAACTCAATGCATTCTGCAAGTTTTGCATTGCTGGGAGGACATACCGGGCAGAGTTTCCTGGGAAGATCTCATTGCCAACAACTATGTATCGAAACTGGACTTGCAGCGAATAAGGCGTAATGTATGTTGCCACCCAGTTCTCAGCAGCAGAGTAAGAGCCTGCAAGTTGTTGAAGATCCTCATTCCTGACTCCAACTAGGACTTCGATGCCAGAATTGCGAAGGGCCTCTAATGCTTCTGGGTTTGGATCATAGAGTCTCATTCGTCCGATTTGATTCGATTTGTACATATCAATAACTTCTCTTGGTGGTGGCAAATCATTGGCCACCATTCCATAGCATACTCCAATTGTAGAACCGGTTGCAAAATTTGGACCAAGTAGTACTGAAAGCGCGACGGAGAAGAGGAGACAAAGCAGTTCAAAGTTAGTGGACATTGCAAAGATTGCTGCTATTTGAAACGAGAATAGAAGAATCAGTCCTAGAAAACAACGTCCAAAACCAACGAACAGAAGTATTGGAATTCACTCTCAAAAGCTTTATTGATAGTATGAATAATTTGCAAAGTACAATTACAAACTAGGCTTTTATATAGAGCCACCAAACCCCACTTCGACTGGGAAAAGAGCCAGAGCTCCTAATTAACAAAGGGAAACTTAAACTAACAAAACGGGAACCTTAAACTAACAAAACGGGAAACTTGGACCCAAAAAACAGGACACTTAAACTAATTTGCAGAAGTCCTAATGCAATCTATAACGGATTTTTGAGCACTTGAAAAGAATATTTCATATTATTTACAATAAATAGGATGAATTCATTATTTAAACATAGAGAAGGATCCACTACGAGCAACATTGATACTGTTTTATTATAAAATATGGCGGTTTATTAATAGTAGAACTGCTAACTTATATATTGTACTTCGACCAAAAAAAAAAAAAGAAAAACGCAACAAGCTCATTCTATGTACAAACAAAGCTAGCTAAATATATTTCACCCCCCAAAAGAAAAAGAAACTTAGCTAAATATATTCAACAATTACACCATAAAGTTTAACTACCATGCTATTTAGAAATCGGGAAAAAGCAATGCTCCATGGCATGTTTAGCAGCAACGAACCAAGTACACCCCAAAAACCAAACATGAACCCCAGTCCCAAGCTAAGATAGAACCAACCGTCTTCAGGTAAATGGTATCCTCTGTGTTGCTCAACTGCTGGTGGTGGTATCACCCCATTTGCACTGCAATTCTTGTCGAGTGGAGCTCCGCAAAGTTCATTGCCGATAAAGCAAGACTCATCAAGGCTCTGGAGCTGAGTGCTTTTCGGAATTTGTCCCGTCAAATTATTGTAGGACAAGTTCAAATGACTCAAAAATGTCAAACTCGCTGTGCTCGGAGGAATTTCACCGCTAAATTGGTTCATTGAAAAATCCATAGATTCTAACCATTTCATGTCACCAATATTTGAAGGGATTCTTCCAGCCAAAAGATTTTTCGATAGATTCAGTGATTGCAACCCAACGAGAGTGGTCAGTTCCGCAGGGATCTCACCATATATCATGTTGTCTGAAAGGTCCATGCCTTTTACCAATTTAAGCATTTTGCGACCATATTCTGCTCCTCTCCCTTTTGTAAACAAGATCACATTATCCATTAAATATTCAGCAAATGTCAAGATCAATGAATTTGGAAAGGTGGCCATTGCACTAAAGTTGTGGAAGCATCTTGGTATTGTTCCTGATAGATTGTTCTGTGCAAGATCCAAGATTTGGAGACTTTTCAGATAACAGAGTTCATAAGGAATGTCTCCCTGAAGGTTATTTGAACGAATGTTAAGAACCTTCAAAATCGAAAGGCTTTTCCCAATCCATGTTAGAGGGCTGCCAACAAACTTGTTTTCGCCAAGGTCAACAACTAACAAGTCTGTACAGTTCTGCATGGACAAAGGTAATTCTCCAGATAGCTGATTATTGTGCAACTGCAATGAGGTCAGCCTTTTTAAGTATCCTATGGAGTTTGGAATTTTCCCACTCAAATTCTTACTTTTTAAGTTTAACATCACCAACCTTTTCCAATTCATCAAGCAATTAGGAATGTCTCCAGTAAGAAGATTGTCCCCTAGATGAAGAGAAGAAAGGTTTTTTGGTTCATCCATCCTATCACAAAAGAAGTGGAAGAGTGATCCAGAAAATGATGAATTGGAAAGATCTAGTGCGGATACTGAGGAGGAAACAAAAGGTAATGAACCATTGAACTGGTTTGAACTTAGGTCAATTGCTGACTGAAAGCCGGCCACTATATTTTGAATTTCACCATGCAATTGGTTGTGAGAGAGATTTAGAGCCACCAACTGGGAAGATATGTTTGGAAACCAAGCCGGAATGGTATCTGAAATTCCTGTATTGGGTAGGCTTAGAAGCTTCAATTGCTTTTGAGTCTGAAGCCACATAGGAAATTCAAGTCCTAGATGCCAATAATCCAACCATAAGCGACTGAGTTGAAAAGGAGGAAGCCAACCTCGACTAGTATTCAGAGCCAATGAGTTTCCTTTTCCAACGAAATCCTTCAATTTTGTAAGGTAAGTAAAATGAACTTCAGACACTGCTCCTTCTAATGAATTATAAGATATATCCAAAACAGTCAGCATTTTGAGTTGACCAATACTTTCTGGGAGAGTTCCATTAAACTGATTGTCATAAATCAGCAATTCTGTTAACACGGACAGATTCCCCAAGGACACAGGAATTGGACCTGATATAGAATTAGCAGAAAGATCAAGGTGGCTTAAATTTTTAAAATTTCCTACATGCTCTGCCAAATGACCTGAAAAATTATTAGACCCTAACGACAAGGACTTTAATTTGTCTGGACCACACACAGACAAACTGTCAAAGATTTCTGATACATTGCCATTGAAATTGTTGAATGACAGATCAAGATCCATCAACTCACACAGATTGTGCAATGAAAGATCAAGTTCCTTGAGAGAGGAGATATTTTGTGGATGGCTAGAAAATGAACCTTGGAAACCACAACCTTTGACAGAAATGGAAACTAGATTTCTAAGACTGAAAACCCACCTGGGCATCAAAGAATCAAATGTGTTTTCAGAAAGATCAAGGATGGCAAGTGAAGTAAAATTTGTGAGGGGTAGAGGGGGAATGTGATCAAGTTGACAACCGGCCATATGTAACTCTACCAAAGAGGGGAGCATGTTTAGAACTTGTAACCAGTCGGATGCTTTACTAAGATTAGCACGACTCATGTCAAGTTTATTCAAATGAGAAAGACCAGAAACCCATTGAAGATTCTCAACCTTAAGCTTGTAACCGCGGAGACCAAGATACTGTAAATTTGAGAGATTTCCCAACTGAGGAGGAATTATACCTTGGAAGCTTGCCTCAGATAGGTTAAGATATCTTAAACTTTTAAGTGAACCAAAGAAGCTAGGAATCTGAATACCTTGAAAATTATTGTAACTTAAGTCTAAGTAGTTGAGATACTTCAAACTTACCACCCAACCAAGTAGAAGTGACATAGAAATCCCCAAAAGATAAGTGGAGATCCTGTTGAGAGTCGGGTTTATTAAGGTGGAGCTCGCGGACGTGACCGGTTAAGTCATCACAGACAACTCCAGTCCAATTGCAACAAACTCCTTCACCTACCCACGATGAAAGCCGATTTGAAGGATCCTCAAGATCCTTCTGGAATATCAAAAGTGCTTGTCGTTCACTTTCTTTGCAAGGCACTCCCAGATTCCCATTGCACAAACCAATACTAATAGTTATGGCTACCATAGTGCTTAGAAACCTGAACAGAAGTAAACCAGCTCTCATGGTTATCTTCATCCAGTTATATTGTGTAAAGTGCATGAACAATAACTTTTGAGTGGAAAATGTTGGGCCACTGACTTGTAACATTATTTGATCTTTCTTTGGCCTACAAATCAACCTTTTTCTTACATCGTTATTTTGACTCTTGATCACAATTTTATCTTTTTGCCATTTGTAATGAGATTCCCGTTCGGCTGCCAAAATCGAATACCATGTCTTCATCAAACGAATATAAAAATAAAAAGAACCAATAGATGACATCGAATGGTGCAAAATTTGAAAATAGAAAAAAGAACTTGTCTTAAATTTACCTTATCAAGTCAAAAGTATTAGGGCAATAACAGACCAAAAGAAAAGAAGAGAGAGTCAAATTGGATAACACATAAAGAAAAACTGAGACTAGTGTCAAAAAATATACCAATGTTGCATTATTCGGAGACAATCACATTCTAATTATGACCAGAAACACGCTTTCTAATTGCTCTTTGAGCTAATTGTATAATCGATCGCGTAAGTTACTGAAACTATGATTTGTCCTTTAATTTTTGTTCACAGAAAACTGATTGGATAAACGTGGCTTATTAGGTTCGAATTGTATATTTGTGGCTGGTGTTGTCACCTCCCTATTTCCATCGGAGGGCCAGCCCCTCTCGGACACCACCACTTGGACTTGGGGCTCCCCTGCTTTCTCCAATGATGCATGTAATGCATCCACCATGGAGTCAAACAAGTTATCATAACTTAGACCACCGTATGTCACAACGACCGTCTCAGAAACGAACAATGCATAAGGCAGTGAAATGTCAATTGGGTTTCCAACGTTATAAGAGGGAAAAAAATTAAGCAGAACATTTGGGGATTGTAAATTAGAATGGTTTATGGATTGATCATTGACCAGCACTGGAGTTGAGAACAAAAATCTAGGTCAAACAAAATATTTAGATTATGTCATTGTAATTTAATACTAGAGATAAACAAACCAGTGGTCCAACTAGTAAGATAAATACAATTTCTCTTGGAAGGCAGGCTTAAATTTTCTTTCCAGTTTGATCTAAAGAACCACTTGTTGCATTTCGATCTATCCACGAAGCTTGCCATTGCTTGTCATAGAAAGTAGCTTCATCAGCTAGCTTCTTTAAGTTCTCAAAATCTTGGGTTCGCCTGATGAATATTATAGCAATGACTGCCACAAAGAACCCTGCCTTGCATATGAAGTTGCCAGTTTGTCCTACAACACCGAGCCCTGTCAAAGCATCTACAACATATGCCATGAAGAACCCAACCATTGCCGCTCGACCTATATCCAAAATAGTTCATGCAGCAAAAGATACATAGTTCTAATTAGAACTAAGAAATATAATAATGCAATGCATGCAGCAAGAATTGCATGCATATTTCTAAGAACTAAGAAGTGCAAGTGTGTGTGAAGTGATTGATGATCGGAACCAACCATTGATCAGCTCAGCCTCCGGGAGATAGGATCTCATCATCCATGCCCACCATGGTATGATGGAGCTCCTAAACACAACCGGGTCGTCGTTGGTGGCTGATTCTGGGTGAAGCTCAAGAAACTTCCTCCTCCTTGCTTCTGCAGTGCCAAATTGCCAATACATATAAAATAAACAATTTTTTTAATGCATTGTATAAAAAAGTTAAAATAGGACACAAATATAGAACAAATAGCCTATACAAACATTAATATTTCAATAGAAACACAAGTTTTGTGATAAATCTGAGAGAGACCAATTAGAGCAGAGCACCTGCTAGAATGATGCCATCCCAGTCCAAATTGCCATCCTTGGAAAACATATTTAGATCCCATGTCCCTTTCTTCCACCGCTCGTCGTTGAACTTCACAAGAGGCAATTCTGTACCCAAACCATGTTGTGATTTGTAGTCTGCAGCATCCTCTGCCTCAGGCCCATCGATGCGTAAAGCAGACTTCTCTTGCTTCTCTATGTTTAAACCATTTTGAGCTTTCACATCCAGCGCAACAACATGATGGGTGGCCTCTTTTGTCCCCAAAGAGCGAGCAGCTGGTCTGGATTTGGCTGTTGTTTCTTAGTGGCTTGATGTGAGCTGCAAACTGTTTGCAATGAAGCAGAAATGGCCAAGGAAGCTATGCCTTATCTTAAGGTAGCTCTCCTCCTTTGTTCTTGCTAGTTTGGTGCTTCAGTTTCTTGTTCTTTTCTTTTTTTTCAAAATGATCTTATAGATAGAAAGCAGGGAGGAAGCCCATGCTTGGGAATTTGAAAGCTTATCTTCCCTTGTTTTTGTCAGTGAAGTTATGGGCAAACTCTTTACTGTATCTGCTTTAACCATTTTCATTTTTTTTAAAGAATTGGTAAAAATTGCTAGCAAGAAATTTAATATGCATTTTTCACTGAATCTTTTATAGTTTAAATCACTCTAGACTTGGTCCAAACTATCTATAAAAACTTGGGTGGATAAATTCAGTTTGGATTTTCTTTATATTTTATAAACAAGGGAGGCCAAAGGACAATCATTCTTTCAAAGCCAACAATGAACCAGAAATTGTGGCCAAATTCACCTAACTAATTAACTTTAACTAGGAAAAATCTTGAAGACCAGATTGGATTTAATTCCTGGCAATGGTAACAATACTAATATAAGAATAGCAACCACCAATTTATCATTTGAGCCACATTGCAACAAGAAAATCATATTTTTCTTCACGAATCACTTCCTCCAATCGATACAAAATCTGCCAAAAAATGCCACAATTAACTGCAGAAAAAGAGAACAGAGAATTTTGGAGGTTACAAAGAATGGCTTCTTCAAGCTGCCTCTTCAGCCCTCGGCTGTGACTGTGTATTGAAGAGATAAAGAAGAAATCCAACAGACTGACAGAAGCTCTTTATGCTTCCCAACCCCTTAAGACGGTGGCACGCGCAACCCGGTTTACACCCAATGTGAAGGCACCCATTCTGAGATTACACTCGTGGGTCTTGCACATGTTCTTGATGTTATGGAAGGCCCGAGTCATGTACCTTTGGAGCTCATTATTGACCTTCTCTTCGTCCCACATAAAACCTTGAATATTCTGTGACAAAATATAATCAAATTTCAGCACGTTAAATTATGTCCCTAATCAAACTCAGAAAAATCAATAGGAGATAAAGTTTTTCCTCTGTCAGTCACCTGAACCCACTCAAAATAGCTAACAGTCACACCACCAGCATTTGCATATATATCTGGGAGTATTATAACTCCTTTCTTGGATAGAATCTGCATCAATTAGAAATCATCCATCAGAATTGTAACTGTCTTTTTCTCCAACTTAAAATCTCAGAAGAAAGAATATGCAGTAATACCTCATCTGCTTCTGGATCAGTAGGGTGATTTGCGGCCTCTACAATGAATTTGGCCTTCACAGATGAAGCATTTTCCCTTTACAGCAGAATGACGGATATAAGTAAAATAAGTGGAATTATATAAGTGCAATTAAAAAACTACCTCTTTTGTCAATGAAGGGAGAGAAAGAGAGAGGAGAAGGAAGAGAATTGATAATGCAAAACATAGGATAAGAAACACCAAGGAAAGCAGTGAGTTTGTTGGTAAAGGGGTTAAACCTGTTCAGAACTCCTCCTAAAGCAGAAGGGATGAGAACATCACATTCATGTACTAGCAGTTCATTAGGGTCCATGTTATCTCCACCACTGAAATTTAATAAACTCCCAGTGTTTTCCTTGTGCTTAATCAACTCCGTGATATCAATTCCATTTGGGTTCTTAATTGCGCCAGTGATGTCACTCACAGCAATAACCTTACCACCTCTCTCGTGTATAAGCCTTGCTGCCCAGGATCCCACATTTCCAAAACCCTATAAAAGTTCACAAAACAATCATTTTTGATATGATCACAAAACGTTATTAACAAAGAAGACAATGTCAAATGATTCTACCTGAATAACAAAAGTCAAATCTTTAACTGACTTCCCATATTCTGCAAGTAAAGCTTCCGTTCCAAAAACAACACCGCGTCCAGTTGCAGCCTCCCTACCTAGTGATCCCCCAAGATCCTAAAAACACAAACACGAGACAACTTGGGTAAGAATGAGAGAATTTCTGTATGTTACTTATGTGTCCCAATTTCAGAGTGTTCAGTACTTACAATGGGCTTTCCAGTCACAACAGCTGGTGAGTGACCGTGAAATTTGGAGTACTCATCCAAAATCCATGCCATTGTCTGGGCATTGGTGCCCATATCAGGTGCAGGAACATCAGTATGAGTTCCAATGAGATCATGGATTTTCTGAGTGAAGACACGAGTCAGACGCTCCAACTCACTTTTACTTAACTCCCTTGGGGTGCATCCAATTCCACCCTTTGCTCCACCATATGGAATGTCCGCCACAGCAGTCTTCCAGGTCATAAGTTGGGCCAGGGCATTTACTTCATCCGGATCAACCTTCAAAAACAAAATAAGAAAACTTTCAATATAGAATTCACAAAAAAGCATGTACATTTCTCTAATTTATGCTGCTGGTTTCAAACTTTTTTAAAGGCCAGGCAGAGGTCCTATGTGAAATCATCTCCTAGAAATGTGGACTGGACTAGAGATATGTGAAACATTGCATTTTGTTGGCGCAAAACAGGGGAAATGATCTGGGATCTGGGTTCTCAGTTCTCATAAAAAAGAAGAAAGGCTAAGTGACAAATAAACAAGTGAAATGACATTTGTCGAAAACATAACTACTTAAGGGACCTGTGCAAAGACAGAACCTTGGATGATTACTTTACACATGAACTGTTTAGCCAAACCAATTAGCTGACTTTTGTAAGCCAAAACACAATACAGATACCCAAAAGCATAATTTATTTTTATTTGGTCTTAAACTATATATTTCTTCATGTAAAATTTATTTATTTTTGCAAATTATACCAATTCGATTAGTGACCAAAAGTTAAGACTCAAAGTTTATATCTTCAATTATTACTCTTCCCTCCTGAACTTTTTGTAAAGTATGATGATCTTTCAGCTTTATCTCAAAAAGCAATCAAATCATTGGATCTACACAGAAAATCCAAAAACCCCCCAAAACCCAAATGACATTATGCAGAAGACAAAATAAACAGATCATGAAAAGGAACAAAGCAAAAGACAAAAACCCAACGGAAACAAAACGAAACACATCACCTCAGGATGATATCTGATCCCTCCCTTCATTGGTCCACGTGCATTATCATGTTGCACTCTGAATCCAACGTACGAAACCAAGCTTCCATCGTCCTTCGGAATTGTGCACTCCACCTTATCCACCACAACAGACAAAGTTCAACAATTTCTCGAGAAACAATCACAACTGATCAGATTATAATCAAACTTTAATAAAAAGACCAAAAAGAAACAGCCGATGGACCTTGATCTCTCTGAAAGGGATCAAGAGACTCTTCTCAATCTTAGCATCCAATCCAAGAATACGGGCCGCGTTGCGAAAATTGCGGCTTGTTGCGGCGAGGGCGTTCATGGCTGCCAACAAAACTCAAAAACAGAGACTACCCAGAAAAGAGAAAGTGATGGGAAAACTTTTCAAGATACCGAAGGAGAACTCCAAGCCAAAGGGAATAAAAATTGGGTGGTGGCCAAAATAACGCAATGGGATTTGTGAGAAGGTGAAAATTGAAGACGACAAAGAGAGCTAAGCAAATGGTGATGAAAAAAAGAGTGAAGTGGTTGGTGAGTA